ATTCTTTGTATTATTTGTGTTTAGTAGTTAAATTATTTTGACCCAATTGAATTTGAATATTTTTGAATCATTCCTTTATTATCCCTGCTCTAAATAAGTACTCTATTTTTCTGAATGAGCCAGACTAATTGATCAGAGTACATATTTTTTTTTTTTTTCTGAACAAGGGGCTGAAGTAGCTAGTTAGATTGCACACTTTTTAGTTGAACTAACTCTTCTGGAAGGGTGAAATTGAAGTGCAAATACTGTCGAATATATGTAGATGTAGAATTTTATCGTCCCCTTTCTCCTCTTATTAAATATTTGTTAAAAATTAATTTTTTTATACTAATAAATATTAATGTGAGTTAAATATTAAAAATACTAACTATAAAAGTATTTGGGCAAATGCCCCAGGCTCCTTTCAGAGTTCAGAGTAGGGTACCCCCTATGAGTGCCTCTGCCCCCCCCATAAAATAGACTTGGTATCTAATTTTGCAGGAGTTGGCCTACTAAAATTATCAGGAGTCAGAGTCGGAGTCAAGTGTTTTTACTGACTCTGCAGCCCTGACACATACATATATAATTTATTTATTTTATTTATTTATTGCTGCCTAACTTGAAATTAATTCTAGATAAATTTGAATTAAATGAAATTTCAATATAATTCAATATTTGTATATTCATATAAACTAAATTTGCATTTTATAAATTTTTTATTTTATAAACAAAATCTATGTTGCAAATTCTCCAACACCTTATTTGCTGAGAAAAACTACCATTATCATTTTTCATAAATGAACTTTTTCAATAACATTCAATTTATAATGGTAACACATAGTTTAAACTCAAGGATGACTTGTGAAACAGGCTGAAAACATTCATGAAAGATTAAAGTTTTCCTCAGCAAATAATGTGTTAGAGAATTTGCTATTTTCATGCTGAGAGTGATTTTCACTATTTCAAAATCTGTATTTGAAGATAATTATGAATAAAGCCAATTGTCTCAACATAATAAATATAATGCCATAATCCATCAAATAGTTAATGTTGTTTCATAAAATTGATAAAACAAAATTAAAATTTATTATACTACTTTTACCTTATCTGATATTGGAAAGTATTTTGCTAATGAAGCTTCCAATGTCAGAGAGAACAAAAGTATTTTAATAAATTTTGATTTAACACTGTTGCATCAATTTTATGAAATAATATTTGAGGATTAGTGTTTTAGGATTTTAAATATATCTGTCTTAATTTTCTCCCAGTGCATGATGTGTATATTATATATTCACTAGTTGTGTTCAATTTGTATGGTCTTTTATGGATGGAGAGAAGGGTGATGGCCATTCTGTGGATTGTTTTGATCTGAATATGAGAGCTAAAATACAATGTCTCCAGAAGGAAGATTTCAAATTGGATTAGAAACAGAAATGATGAAATATATCAGTGGTAATTCAGAGAAATGTTTTCATTTATTCAAGAACTATTTTGGGAAAGGAACTCCCTTACAACTTAAACTTAGCTTTTGTCTATTACTTCCTACCTCCAACAACTGTCTCTTCCAAGTGTAGTCCTGCTGTTATCCGAGACTGTTTTTCTGCTTTTGTTAATTAGTTTAGAAGAGATCTATTTCTAAATTCAATGCTTTTTATAGTGCTTTAATTAACAAAATTTTCTAAACACTTATTGATGAAATGCTGTAAATCTATTTTTAATTCAGATTCCTTAATCTTTTTTAAAACTCTTTTTGCCTGCTGGTTCTTAAGAGATTTTTTTCTCTTAATTAATTATTGTGGATTTGGTCAAAGGGGATGAGTGGGAGATGGCATATCTGGGAAAAGCCATCCATAATAATTTCTAAAGGTTTTTACTTGGACTTGAATTGATTATGTCAATTAATAATCTAATCAAAAACTTAAATAGATGAAATGAATCTGTTTTTGTCCTCCTAAATTATCTCTGTTGAATTTCATTTCCAGATAAAATACAATCAGTCTTCTGATAATTGCTTGAAACCAGAAGATAATGATAAACATGAAGGTACTGTATAAAGAAAACTAAAGTTCAACAATTCCAAGTTCTAATTGCTAATTTGAATTTAAATAGATATATTTATATACTAGCTTGTTACACCTAGCATTATTAATCATAAATTTCAAAAATGTATGTGGTAAAATGCATTTTAAAATCATTATCAGAATGCCTATAAACTATGTGGAAAATATGTCCTCATATTTCCCACATAGTTTATACAAAATTAATTAGAATTAGATTGATTTATTTGGTTATGGCAATGTGACACATGAACAATCTGTGGGGAAATGCCTCACCAGATTGCACAGTGACACCTATTTAGGTGTTACTAACATGAAGAAACGTCAGAAAACTTCACATGGCAAGCCCATTAGCAATGCACAAACCCACAACCAACTACTAGTGTTTGGTGATTTTATCCATTTGGCCATCGATGGGCATTTATTATAATTAAGAAATCACCCTTTAGAAATGAAAAAGCCGGAGTTGTTAGATGTGTAAAATCAAATACTTATATAGTTTTCATAGTTTAACACTTTCAACTGGACACATGCGAGTGCTCTGTGCTACCCATTGCAGTAATGATATAGTACATCTACTTTATGCTATATCATTATTGCTGTAATTAAGTGTATATAATACCAGAAATCATCATTAATTCAAACTCTGATAACTCAAAATCCTGTTAGTTCGTAACTGTACTTTTGTCCCAACCAAAAATATAGAGATTAACATGTTAAGGAATTTGGTTAGTTTGAAATATGGCTACCTGAAAATTTGAAGTGAAAATTCTGTCCAAACTGTAATATGCCTATGTTAACTTGTTCAACCTGTCCTGTGTTATTCCTGACATATCTTGGGTCGTGACCTGCTTGACCAATTGGCCGAAGATATCTCATTTCAGCATTGGAACATTTTTGAAATTACTGTAGATGTCGTTAGTTGTTATAATTTTTATATTAAAACTAACTTCTAAAATATATTTTTTTTTGTGAAAAATAAAAAAATAATTTTGAACGATACAACAGATAATTATTTTTTTCAAAAACGTGTAATTTTTGTTAGGCTTAACATCAACAAAAATTCAATATGGCGCGACTCACAACGGAGAAAAATTTCAATATCAGATAGGTCAATTAGATTGAAGTGCCTCCATGATGTAAGAGAACATTAGATCAAGAACAACTCTTATCTGGTCAATATGGTTTACTTTTAGTATAAAACATTTTTGGATGTCACTTACCCATGGACTACTTGCGGCCGGATGGCCAAGAGGTCAAGGTGGCAGCCTACCACTCTGGGGGACCCAGGTTTGAATCCGAATGGGTCGAAAAATCCCCAGGAATTTTTCAGGGGTGGTCCATTCGGATATGTCAGGCCCCGTCCCTCACCACCCGGCAGCCCATTGTGGGCCTGGCCGAACCCATAATAGGCCTGCAAAAAGAGGCCCTCTTAGTGCCCACAGGGCGGAAAGAGTAAAAAAAAAACCCATGGACTACCCTTCTTTTTCCTTATCTCATAAAATATAGCTGGTTTTTGGGATTGCAAGATTGGGTTACAAGTAGCAGATTAAGATATTTGTAGGGTTCTACACTACTAGATTTGAGAGACTAACTCTTTTTGGGCCACTTTAAAAATAATTTGGGCTACATTTCAAGGAATCAAGGAATTTTTTTTTTTTTATAAAAACTTATCTGGCAACCTATGATGTTCAAGCCAGAAATGTATTGTTTACCTTCATATTTATGTTATTATTATTATTTTTTAATTAATGAAAACAGCATTCTTTGTACATAGCCATATTCCATTTGCTTAATAAATTACATCAGTTACATTGCATTTGGCATAGTGTATAGATATACATAAACCTCAGATAATTCTAAACTTGATAAATCGAAGTTTTGATTATTTTGTCCCTTGAATTTTGAACTAACAAGGATTTCCTTTATTTCATGTTGTAAAAATATTTTTGCCAATAGATGATACTACAGAAAATTGGAAGTAGACAAAAATTAATTGGTAAATAAAAATTAAATCAAAATTTTTGGGTGGTATGTATGACATTTCCTAAGTTAGAAGTATGTTAATGTAACTGCTGAATTTCATAACAATTGGTTAAATACACTAAAAGAGCATAGCAAACAAACAAACATTTATATATATATATATATATATATATGTATGTATATATATATAAATTGAATATGTATAAAAACTTCATTAGGATTTAATTTACATTCCATAGTCAGTCATTCTATAAATTTATTCCATAAGATGACATGTAGAAAATCAGCAATAATAAAATATCAATAGCATGCCTAATAGCATGCTATTTTATCATCAGAAAAGTATTTAATGCAGCAGAAAAATTTTTATTCTTATAAGAACTAGGTCAAATGTTTCACAAAACAATATATAATAATTTCAGCATTTCAAAATATTTTTTAATGTATATAAAAAAACATTTGACACCTTTCACTTACTTGGACAAAATGTCTTGTCTAACTTAAAAATAAGAAAGCATTTTGGTGCTATATAAATGCTGTTTTAATATTTTCAATATTTTTAAAATATTATCTTCAGGAAAAATATTGTATCTCTGAAGATTCTTTTCAGTTAATTTAAGGATAAAGGAACATGTCTTAAGAAGATAATTATCCATTTAAAGAAAGATCTTGAAGTGTGTAGAATTAAACAAATAAGATCAAATCAGTATCTTTTATAACTTATGTATATATATTATCATTTTCTAAAAAACTTAAAATATAAAAAATATTATTACTACATATTAATAAGTTACAAATGCAAATATTAATTAAAATAAAAATTTCTTTAGAGTCAGCTTTAATTTGATACAGATAGTGTTCACTACTAAATATTTTATATATAATTTCATTTAGATTTATTTCTTAGTTATTATGAATTTGTTTCCATAAATTTTAAAGCTAACTCAACTTCTTAATAATGAAAAAATATATAAATACCTGTTATCCACTTTAACTTTGAGTTCTTCTAATTTTTTTTCTAATATCTGTGAAAGAAAAATTACATTTCATATTTAATATATTGCAGTATCTCAAGTAATGTAATACATAACATAATTAGATATAAAATAAAAATTAAAAAAGAAACATCTGCAATAATTTTTTAAAATTACAAAAAATTAAAATTAAAATATTTAAAATTAAATATAATGCACAGTTATAATCTGCATTTATAATCCATGTTTATCGTCAATCAGTGTATTGCCATAGAATTATTAGTACAAAAATTTCTGAAAACAGATTTTAGATATTTTATAAAGTAATCAATAACAAGTAAATCTTTATATGATGAAAATTAAAAATTTTTCCTATTATATAGTATGATATCATATCTTTAAAATAAATTAATATACCACTCTCTTCTGATGTCCTTAAAAATATAACCAATAAATTAAAACTCCAATCATTCAAATTGGAAAAATTATAAAAACTTGGCCCATTAAAAATGCATAGTATACATATAAGCAGCTAATGGGTTAAGGCAATCATTAGTATACAAATATACACACCAATCAAAACCCAATATTAAGCAAACATACACCAACTACTGCTGTAAAAGATTGGGCTAAATTTGGATATAATGATTATAAATTAGAAATGGATTTGGCACTAGAGTGAGGCGTTAGGCGCCATCTCGTATTAAAATTAATAATTTTATATCCAAATTTAGCCTGATCTTTTACGGCAATTGTTTGTGTATATTTGCAATCATTAGTGTTTAGAGTGACCAAAACGTGGTCACTTAGGATCATATTTACCTAAAGATTTTATTGCTAAAATGAATTTTTAATTTTAAGCATTACTAATTTATATATAAAATTTAAAAATTACAATTGCCAGCTATATATATATACTCAGTGGAAAAATATATATTTTAATATTAAAACTACAAATTATTATTTTAATTCTGATGCAAGAATGTCATAATTATATGAATCAGTTCAAACATACTATCCAACAATTTCTTGTATATCTCTGGCATAAAAATAGGTGATTTCTAAAGATATCCTCCTGATTTGGAAAAAAAAAATCATCTTCAAATTTTTCCTATCACACAAGGATCAAAAGATAGAGAGATCTTTTTATAATGATACAAATACAGAATAGCATTTGAATATAGCACATGTACCCGTAAAAATCATTAATAATACCAGGAATTCTCCATCAAGTGTGATGGAATACTTCTTATGAGAAAATAGAAAATGCAGAATTGAGAAGAGTTTCAAGTTGAGCTTGATGTTGTGATGCTGTTTCTTCCACCCTTGACCAAACAATTCTTATTCGATGTTGCTCAAGTCAAACTACACTGCCTTCAGGAATCTCAGTTGTTCTTATTCTTTTAGATCTTATTTACCTGACCAATTTTACTCTTATGCTATCCCCAGGCATTTCCCCCACCCCCTGACCAAACAGCAAGTCTTTTTAATTCCATGTTGATAAAACAAAGATGAATTGTATGTATGTTAATTAGATGAGTGATATCACTTTCTGGGCTTGTTAGATCATTACTTTCAATTGGATAATACAACATCACAATCACTATGAAAAATTTTTTTTTTTAAAATTTGTTATAGAATGCAGCTATCATTTTTAAAGTTTAAATTTAATGAAGTAAGTTTAAAATAAGCCATTTGCCAAAATATTAAAAAATGCAATATAAGGAAAATTTCCTTGTCAAGCATGATCATAACACGGTAACTGATGTCACTGCAATATAAGTGCGATCACTGATATGAAATCGATAAAAAGTATATTCTATAGCTCAGTGTTTTTCAACCTTCTTGAATACGCGACCCTTTTACAAGTTAAAAAATTTTGGCGAACCCCCCACCACCATATTAATTAAAACTATGTCAGTGAATTTAAAAACTACGTATTTAATTTTTTTTTGTTGAAATTTAAATATCGATCGAAAAACTAATTGTACTGTAAATAAACAGGCACAGCCTTCTCACTGAAATTGTAGTTTTTTCATTGTAGTGTAAAACCTACAAACACTTGACTTTTTCTTTTACCCGCGACCCCCCGTGTATGGCTTTGCGACCCACCTGGGGTCACGACCCACAGGTTGAAAAACACTGCTATAGCTAATATTTCCACAAAACAAGAGCCTATACTTTCCATCAGAACATAAAACAAATATAACCAAAATTTCATCTGGATTGGATAAAATTGCAGGAGTTATAAGGAATTCACATGCACATATAGCCTTTTATATTAGTAATAGTTTGGTTTCTTTGTACCATTTTGAACATTGACATACACACAATGTCTCAAAAGTCACTATCTATTTTGAAAAATAATTGGAATTATGAAAAACTGGTTTAAACATGAAAATATATTTATTTAATAATCTTTTACCAGCTTTGGAAAATACATATTTCAAAATATATGTTGCAAAAAATTAGTGTTCCACAAGGCAATCATCAGTGTCTTTACAGAGCTCAAAATAATATGATTATACAAATGTAAAAAAACTACCATTAAAAACATTAATTTTTAATATATTAAAAATTATTTCTATTCTACTCTAAATCTAGTGTAGATCTACTCTAAACAATTCAAGATTTTTTAAACTGTATAAATGAAGATGTTTGTTTGCTTGCTATGCATGCCTAGGCCACTTGACCAATTGCTACAAAACTCAACAATTCATTCACATACTTCTAACTTAGATAATGGTATACATCCCATCCCAAATAATTGATTGGATTTGTATATATCAATGAATTTCTGTCTACATTTGATTTGCTGGCTTTACATGTAGCACCATCTATTGGCAAAAAAAAATTTAAGAAAATAATGAACTAAATATACCATATTTACTCACGTATAAGATGATCTCGCATATAGGACGAGGTGTGACTTTAAAGATCAAAATAAAGAAAATTAGATTTATTAATACAATCCTAATTTTATTTCATTTAATCACAAATAAAATATCAAATGCACATAAATGCACACCTTGTCCCACAAAAATTACTGGCATTTTAAACTTTAAGGAAAAATCTTGTAAAATCAACAACATAATTTGTTCATGTAAAGCTGGACAACCGGGAACCTTTTTTGCATATTCTTGACAGTCGAATCCACTCTCAGTCAATTACATTTATGAGTTTCTCCGAATTCTGATTTCCGAATAATCATCCATTTTCACATGTGAATAGATTAAAACTTATATCGGGCTCCCGTGTGATTTTGGAATTTCAACTTGGAATTCAATTCAAAAGCTTTGCTTTTCCTATTTCTACTCATCTTTACTCCTGACAATACACAAGAACGATTCAAATGACCAAGATAAAATATTTTTGTCTTTAAACACCAGAGGGTGAGCATCTGGTAAAAAATGTGAAGACGCAGTTCACAAAAATTATTGCAAAAACACAAAGAATCCTTTGCTCATGCTTAGGACAACCTAAGTTTTTGAAGCAGTGAAAAATGAATAAAAACCTCGTCTTATATGCAAGTAAACATGGTAATTCTTACAAAAAAAGGATATAATTCTAAAAAATACACTGTGTGCATATTATATTCCTTTAATTACTGTAACAATGATATAGCACAAAATACGTATGCTATTACTGTAACAGGTAGCACACTGCACTTACCTGCATGGTGTAACAGGTAGCACACTGCACTTACCTGCATGGTTTTGCCCCTGTACATCATACTTTTCCAGTTAGCAATAGAGTTGTGCTGATTATGTATCTAACTCCATTCAGGGAAAAATTTTTGAATTTACATAACATGATTTGCAGTGCAAACTAGAAGTTCATATACAGTTAATCTGGTCCTCCTGCTCTTAAGTTTTCCATATCTGGTCTTGAATTGTCTGATGAAATCTAACTCTATTTTCAAGATTAAGGAAGGACAGACATACAGATGAGAGTAGGAATTTATAGGCCTACAATTTTTTCAAATTGCAGCCCAATAAGTACTGTCCAGTAACTGAGTGGATAAAACCACTAAACACTGGTAGTCAGTCATGGGTCCACACATTGCCAACAAACCAGTTAAATGGAGTTTTCTGGGTTTTCTTCATGTTAGTAACACCTAAATAGGGATCAGCTTTGCATAAAAGTCTTTCCAGGATGCAGCCTCCTTGGCAGATTGCTCACTTTTTGCATTGCTGTAACCAAATAAACCAAACCCATTTTAATAATTTTTCTGTAAATGCAATATTTACAAGGACATACTTAACAATCACAAAACCTGGTCACCCTGTCTCCTCTCCTGATTTCATCTCCCATTATTAACTCAAACCCATTGTCCTAAACTTCTTCCAGTGATACTGCTTAAAGACACTCTAACATTCAGCCAAATTAATGTACAGTACATGCAATGATTAAGTCATAAAGTAGAGCTTGAAGTCTTTTTCAGTGCCAATGTTATTTTTCCTATTTATTATCATGGTGACATTGCTTCATTCAAAATTTCCTGTAATCTGTATAATGTGTTTAACACACATGCTATATCTTACTGTCAAATATGCTTCCACTATTCTTATGCCACAACTTTCAAAAGTTTTCTTTACTCAGATGTTTTTGCTGAGCTTTACTTTTTCAATCTGGTTTCACCAGTTTTTTGTTATAAATTAATTCTCACATAATTTTAATGTAATAAATTAATTATGTGATAATTATTATTCTCACATTCTTACAAGATTTTTTTTTATTTAAACAAACCTTATATGAAGTCTTTTGGATGTTATGATTAGCAACTTCAATCACACGCAGGGCCATCACAACCTAGCTAACATGGATCACTTTTTAAATATTAATTAGTAGTAGTTGAGCTTCTCCTGGGACAGTGGATGGTCAACAACTACTTTTGATTGAATTAACTTCAACCTCTTTCCACAACAGACCCTTCTTTCTATTGGTGAGCACAAAATATGATTTAAGTAGTTTTTCTAGAGTGCCAAGTTTAAATATTTGGTCCGTTTTTTGTGAAATTTGATTAGTTGACAGATTACCATTTCATATTCAGCTGTGAATGAAACAGTTGTTAGAGCTAACATTAAGAAAAAATATGATATCTGAAAAAATTTAAGATATATTTTTTGATTCCTGTCCACTTGACCAATGAAATTGTGCTATTTCGTACAATCTGAGTATCATGAAAACATCACAATGGTAGGCTAAAATAACTAAACTATATTGTTTTCATTTTAATGTTTCTTATATTATACTGTTTGATTTATATAACCACAAAGGTTATCTTATGTATGGGTTTATCACACCAATTAACCAATTTAACACATTTTTAAAATTCTATATTCTCTACACAATTTAAAAAATTTTTTTAAATGTGTTAGATTTGTCAATTGGTATGATAAACCCTCATGTAAAATAACCTTTGTAGTTAAATAAATCAAATACTATAATATAATACCTCGTAGAATAGTTAGAAGTATGAAATAATCCATAATCTTAATGTTTGTACTTATTTTTTGCTTGGCAACACCAAGCTTACCTGCTAGTTTAATATATATAAATTGTAAGCATTTATATTTTTCAAATGCACATAATTTCAAATTTTCTTTCTGTTCTATTTATTATGCTCCATTCTAGAACCTTAATATCTCAAGTTATTCAATTTAATAAGCAGTTAAAACTCATTACAAAATTTAAAAAGGAATTATCATAAATAACACTCATAAATATTACAACTTATAATTTTTCATATTTTGTTAATATGAAAGATAAAAATTGATACAAATATATATGTGATTTTATTTTGTTAACATATTCACAATATCCACAGTAAAATGAAATGCCACTTAGTTGGACTACATTTTTATCTTTGGTGTATCCATCTTTATAATAGACAATATTACATACATTTTTATCGTATCATAAGATACTTAGTATCTTTTTCATCGGTATCAGTATTGAAGTATAGCACCACTTTTGATGATACAAATGATATATGAAGTTGACATATACCAAATGCATTTATGTTGGTAAAAAAATAAATTTAATTACACTTTAAATGAATTACTGAAATGAAATCAAGCAAAAAAAATTACAGGAAAACTGAAACTGACACTACTATTCTTTTAAAAAAGTATACAAAGAACATTTACTTTTTAAAAAAAATAGTATCAATAGTTTGTTAAATTAAATTAAAAATTTATTTTTAAGATAAAAATAACTGTTCTTTAGAATACTTAAAAAATAATGAGGTAAAAAAGACACATAAAAATGAGTAAATTTTTTTCCCATCTTTCTTTTTGATTTTACTAGACCAGAAAATATTGCCTCTCAAACTGCTGCTAAACATTTGCTGTTCACGGCACATATGTTCCAAACATTTGCAATGTTTATTCCACGATCAAGTTCAAAAACACTTTTGTTACTGTGAGCCACAGGTGAAAACCAGAAAAATTTAAAGAATGTAATAATTAACTGTTGTGTATCATCTGCGAATACACAAAGTCATTATTATAATCTAATTCACCATAAATAATATCAGTGATCAGTGCTCTAAAAACAAATCATAAATACTTCAAATCTAACATAGTATGGTACTGTATATGTTTCAGGAAGAAGAATGAAAAATTTTTTATGTTGCAAACATGTTAATGTCATGTTCAAAATGTAGTTATAATAATTATTATAAATCTATTTTTAACAGTATAAAAAAGTATCGCTTGAAGTAAATTTGAGAAACAATATTTTTCTAGCATTATTTACTTCGTCGATTCTAAAAAAAACACGTGAAATAGTAATATGTATATATTTTACAAAACATTTGTTGGAAAATTTACTTTTTACATTCCTAATTATTCTTATAATTTCTTAATAAAGATTTTAAAAAATCTGAATATACAAGAATAAACGTTTAGGTTGCAAGTAATAGCCGAGAAATGTTTACGTTAGTGAATTATAATAAAGCAGATTTTTAACTTTATTAAAACATTAGCTTAAGAATTGAATAATACTCAAAAACAATTGCCATTAAATAATGATAACAATTTCTGTAAATGATTCATCTGAAATTATTAAAATATCCTAAATTTTTATTTTTACATTAAAAAATCTTCACGCCCATACTTAACTAAATAAATAAAAGATTTTTGCTTTGATTAACTATAACCACAACACACACACGTAAACACTACTATTACATATTTTAAGTAAATAAAGGCTAAATAAATCATCATCAATTTAAAACTATTGTCAAATTACTCTATCCAAATACTTATGAATTTTATTTTATAATTCCAGTTAAAATATAACTAATATTGAAGTTTTTTTAAAGCAGTTAAATAATAGTTTGCATCACAAATTGCCTTAATGACAGTTATTTAACCAAAACAAAGTCGACGTTTAAAATAGTTAATCATAACAATAATTGACCTGTTACAGTAATTAAATATTTTGATTCCTTTTAATGCGGTCAAGAATCTCAAAAACTAATATCTACACATTCAAATCCAGCTGAAATTGCAACGTGCGCCTTTATAACAATAATTTCTCGTAAAAATTGAATTTTTGATGCAAAAACGACGCAGAGAAAAATATTTAGTTGGGTCTAAAAAACTGGTCATTCAATCTCAACTCATAAAACGAAGGAAAGTAGGCGATTTCGACTTTTTATCAGTTAACAAGCTTAAATATTATATTAAAAAATTTCTAGAACATTTTATAGTACATTCTATATCGATAATTATGAATACGAGCTTACTCCATTTTCGATCATCTCCTCCCAACTATCGCAAACATCGTCACAAGAATCTTCCTCCGCCATCTTCAACTCTACTCAATATTCATGACTAGTCGCGACATCTTTTGGATTCCTTTGAAATTCTTTACTTCCATTATTATTATTATTAATTTTTTTTAAAGCGGGGTTTCGTTCTGAAATGTTCATAACATTTCTTATATTTTCCTATTTTTAAAAATTTATAATAATTTTATTAAAGTAATGTAACTTTTCGGTTTGGATTTAGTCGATTCCCCCCCTCTTCCGTGCGGCATTGAGGGAGGTCTTTCTTTGCGGGAGAGAAACGGAACTTCATCTGGATGATAATTGAATCCAGCACCTCTCTACGGTCTAGAAATATCCCGTTCAGTCATATGGCGGCTTGCTAACTGTACCACGTGAGTCATAAACTGGTAATATTAGAATATAGCCCGTTTTCGTGATTAAATCGTTAACTTGACAGACAAGGGAGGTTTATGTAATGCGAGAGTAGAAACCGGATTAAACTTGGCAAGTACTGTAAATACGCTTCAAAAATTAAAATGTTAAATTTAATTTACATAATGTATATGGGTTACTGAGATATAGGTCTTTATCTGTTAATAAATGGCGATTAATGGATTACTTTTCTCATTTTCAATATAATAAGCAGCAGGAAGTAAGATTAATGAATTAATTTTAAAGTTCGCACAACATTATATATTGGAAATCAAATAAAGTAACCCGAAAAGATCTCTTTTCGGTTATTTCTAATGAAAAAATAGATAGCGGAAGCAATATATATACTTCTCTGCTACCAACTAGGAAAAAAGAAAAGACAGAATTAAAGAAACTGGGCCTTTTTCCTTGTTCCGTCCGCATTTCGGAAAGATTTTAAAAATTCGTGTAACTTGTTATCATTTGGAGTTTATCAAAATTTCATCCGTATTCATATTCTTATGAACTTATTTTTGTACAGAAATACTGTAAAGATAAGTGATATTTTCGTAAAAATTGCATTAATATATTATTTTTAAATACAGTGGGTGATCGGTTAACGAACAAATCGGATAAAGAACACTTTCGCTAAACATTTTTATGTTCGGACAACGAACACATGATCGGATAACGAACACTTCACAGAACGAACACAATAAGAAGCGACGTAAAATAATGAATACCGATTGGTCTTCCCTTGTCTTCAGACAACAATTCGAAACTTTTTGGAGCGCGGGAGACGTCGACATCGACGCTCAACTCGGTATATACTGATAGGATAGTATTCCTTTGAACTTTGAAACTCTCCCTTGTAATTCCAACCTTTTATTTTTCTAACAGAAACAATTTTTTATAGTATTCGCGAGACTGTCGGGCGGGCACTCGTTAAGTTTTGCGTCGGTTTTTATTTTCGAAAGGTGAGTGTATAATAGCGAAGGTAGAGAGTGGGCAGATGTCTGTTGTTGCTGGGCAGTATGGCTCGAACAGGTCTACAGTAGGCCACAGTTCAATCTTATCTAAGAAAGATACTGTATAATCAAGAAGACTCAAGCAGCTTAAGGAGTAACAAAAATCACATCTAACAAGTAAGAAATAAAGAACATTGAAGAGCTCATAATGGAACCTGAAACGAATATGACGACAGAAAAACGCCAAGAACTCTTGAGTGAAGAATACCAAGAAACTGGCGAGATATGTTTTCTTCTGAAAGAGAATCCAAACCAGGTTGAGGTTAATAGGCTTAGGGATCACTCAATTACAATGCTATTAATTGCTTTTGAAAAATTTTGAAGAAGAGAGAAAAGCAATCGACATTAGACAGATTTTTTAACCCCACAAACGGAAAAAACATAACTAATAAAAATGCAAGACTGTGTCTATCTATAAATCTACAATAGGCCCCCTATAACGCGGTAGATACGTTCCTCGTTATACAAATTTCGCGTTGTAGGAATCCTTAAATATATGAGCCAATCGCAGCCCGACACGTGTGAAGTTTACGGACTACGGCTGTTTGAAAGGTTTTCTTCCATAAAATTAATCGATTCTAGACTAATTCGACTTAACATTTCCAAAACACGTATAATTTTTTGGAAATAATCCGTATAAACTATGCTATAAACAAAAAATTGTAGGATTACTTACCGAGTGTGCACCGTTCGACGTCGCCATTGCTTAAGCTTGTTTTCGTCGCGGAGCAGCGCACCAAACGGCGGCCGCGATTTTTGATGTTATTTTTCTGCGAAAAATTCGTTGAACTTTGGAGACATCATTAATAGAAATAATTTTTATGACCGTTGAATAAGAAATGTTTCTTTCACAAGAAATGTATAAAATTACAGTGCTGTATTAGATTTACGGTACCTAATTTACATACTGTACAGATGATAGTAAACTCAACTTACCCGCCTAAACTCTCCGTAGCGTGGCGCTGGACGGCGGAAAGTATATATATAATTATAATAAAGTTAAAATAAATTAAGTTTAATATATAATTATATATACAGTACATAATTAATATATAATTATATGTACAGTACCTAATTTGTATATAATTTATATATAATACTGTATAGACGATAGTAAATTCAACTTACCCGCCTAAACTCTCCGTAGCGTGGCGCTGGACGGCGGAAAGTATATATATAATTATAATAAAGTTAAAATAAATTAAGTTTAATATATAATTATATATACAGTACCTAATTTATATATAATTATATGTACAGTACCTAATTTGTATATAATTTATATATAATACTGTATAGACGATAGTAAATTCAACTTACCCGCCTAAACTCTCCGTAGCGTGGCGCTGGACGGCGGAAAGTAGTTCGACTGCTCGTCCGCGATGACGAGTTGGCGATGACGTTTAACCGCGTTTTACGCGTCCCTTTTGGCGTCTTTATACGAATATTGTCGTAATTTTTTCGTCGCGTTATAGGAATTTCCGTTATAGGAACTCGCGTTATAGGGGTCTACTGTATTTTTATTATTACATATAAATAAACGTAGTAAGAAAAAATATATTTTTTGTTTTCAGGTCTCCAGAACGAATTAATCAAATTCCCATAAAAACCTAAGGTAAATCGATAATCGGTTAACGAACAATTCGGATAGCGAACAAAGTCTTGGAACGGATTATGTTCGTTAACCGATCACCCACTGTGCATCTATCGATTATATAAATATATACATAATAGGTCTAATATACAGTACTTTATATAACCAGTCTGATTAGAAAATATATTTATTAATGATCAATACAATTATTTCTTGTGTTAAATTATTACATAACTTATGTTATATAATAATTTGATGCAAAAATGACGCAGAGAAAAATATTTACAATATTTATAAATAACAATAATCACTGTTTCCCGAGATAAGAATGATAGCAAATGATGTTCAACGGAAACTCGATGACCGAATAGAATTGGCCTACTATACAGGGTGTGCTAGTCTGTGTCGAGTTTTAGAAATTTATTTTTAAGACAGTGTGAAACTTACAAACGCAGTCTAGGCATGAAAACGTATTCAAACGCAAACAGTTTAGTTAGCATAACAGTACAACACAAATGCAACTTTTGTCACCCGCAACACATCTAGGCGTTACTCAATTTCCACCCACGCATTCGTCAGCATGTCCATTGTCACACTTGCAACGACTTTCGACTTCTCTGATTAGCTCCTTCAACACGTTCACATCTCGTATGCACATCTCGTATAGTCTGTCCTTCAGATAACCCAACAGAAAAACATCTAAAGGGGTTGTGTCAGGCAAAACGTGGGGACCAATGGATGAAAGTGTCTAGAAAATGTCGGAAAATGTGTTTGAGAAAATGCGTACAATTACTCCCTAAAATGGCAGTAGTGGTACAACATCCTGCTGGAAATGTAACGTGATGTCATTTGGTGCTCGCCTACCGCTCTGGGGAACCCGGGATCGAATCCGGATGGGTCGAAAAACATTTAGGAATTTTTCAGATGGTGGTCCGTCTGGATATATCGGGCTCCGTCCCTCACCACGCGGCTGCCCCATTGTGGGCCCGGCCGAATCCATGCTGGGCTTGCTAAAAGAAACTCTCTTAGTGCCCAGAGGACGGAAAGAGTAAAAAAAAGATAGGGAATGTAATTCCGTTCCGAATTACTTATAGAAAATAATATCAGATAGATATCTGTCGCTAGCCGTTTGGCCAAGGGGCTAGGGAGTCAACTTACCGCTCTGGAGGATCTGAGATCAATTCCAACCTAGCAAACCAAGGATTTTTGAAGAATGATCTGTTCTGTATTGGGCTTCGTAACTCAGCACCCGACTGCTGTATTATGCGCCTGAGCAAGCCTGTAGTATGCTGGAAAAAGCCATCTTAGTGGCCACAGGGCAAAAATACTAAAAAAAGGACTTAGTGTCGAGAAATTCTTGCGATCGATTTGCTATGCTATGGCACTTAGGTTTATTTGATAAAATTGGTTAAAGAACAGTAGCAACAAGTCTTTGTTTAGATTTTAAGAAAAATCGTGAATCTGATTATTTGTAACATTTTTTAAAAAATAAATAATTTCCTTCAATTTTATTTATATAATTACTTGTTTTTATTGTAATTATTTTATATATTATTATATTTTATAACAATTTTTTAAATACATTTTCCATATTTTTTATTTTTTGCGAATTTAGACCTACTTAATGTATTATTTTAAAAGCACTAAAAATATGAATTCTACTCCTATATAGGCTTACATACAACATATAAAATAAAACGACTGTCATCAATTTTTCTTTCCTACTATTTATCCGTGGATAAGCTTATTTATATTAACAGTAAACAATTTTTAAAATAAAATATAAAAAGCATTACTTATACTATTGTCTTTATTGTTCTTATACTGTATATGCGTTTCGATCCTAAGATCATCTTCAGTATAATATCACACTTAAAATTTTTTAATTATCGGCCTGTGATACTATACTGAAGAGGCCCTTACAGTACCTTGCCAGTACCTTGCCAAATTGTTAAACCCATTGAATAAAATTTTCTTTTTTTTCGTAATATTGTTTAAGGAATCAGTATTTTTTCATATTATTCTAAGACGACCTTTTATTATAGGCTACACTTTGGCTTGTCATCAG